CACCACATGAAAAACTAAGTTGGCACACGCTAGAGCCCCGTGGTATATCATATAATGATTTTCTGTGAATATTATGCCACTTTTCCCCAAAGTCCAACAATCTGGGGGTATAAATGTTCATTGCCTTCAAAACAAATCCATATCGTAAAATATATTCGGCAAATTCCAGCTCATCTACAAGTCCTTGATATCCTTTAAACTGAACAGAAGTCAGGTGTGATCGAAGACAATTAGGAACTCTTGTTGGCTGCGCCCAACTGTGTAAACGTAATGGTTTATGTTCCTGGCGGCAAAAAGAAAAACCAACACCCATAAATGGAAGCAAAGATTATATTTAATATAGGTCAAAGCTTTAAACTTGAAAGCTCAACAAACCCTCGAGTTATGAATTGTAAGAACTTGAAGTATGTGACATTTCTGAAGCAAGTTTATCAGAAAACTCGAGTTGAAACATGGAAAAATGATCTTTAGACGAAGTAAATGGCTAAAATTCGGAAAATCTAAAATCGGGTCACAAAGTAGGGTCTGCAAGACAACAAGAAGTTATATAATATATAATATCAGTACAGAATTCATAAAAAAGAAAAGAAAAAAAGAAGAAAAAAAATAGTGATAATAAAACTTGACCTGTGTTGAGAAATAATCCAGTTTTAGAGATTTCGTTCCGCACAGAGCTAGGATAAGCTTGTGAAAAGTGTTGACAGATGCTTCGTCCACTGTTTCCACATTAAGACGTACATCAACCACATGCTGTAAATTGGTAACCTTACAATGAAAGGAGCTACTCGAATGGACGATTGAAAGGTACTCAAGACCTGGCACATCTATATCCAGGTAATATTCCCATTGAAAAGGAAAAACTTGGAACTCCAACCTCTTCAAGGAAGAAGGGACCTGGACTTTGGTCAAGCATTCGACATAAAAATACAAAATCAGGGTTTCGAGGGCAGGGCACCCAGAGATGAGGGTTTCATAAAAATCCACGTTACAAAATTTTAGGGATGGCAAACAAACGGCTGGAGGCTTTTCTATGCGGATTCCGTAGGACAAAGTCAGTGACACGAGCCTGCTGCAAGTGAAGAGGGTGTGAGGCACCACAAAACCCAATCCATGATGCAGTTCAAGCTGCAGTTCCTCCAGGTTAGGCCCAATGGCGGTTTGGACCCACTTAGCCACTGAGTCGGAGTCTGTAAAGAAAAGACACAAGAGTCGAAACCCTCGAATATCATAACCCTTTCGGATAGCTAGAACCCTATTTACGAAAACAGTAAAATGCTTGAATCCCTCCCATGAATATTTGTGGCAAAAGTCAAGGAATTGAAGATCCTTCCAGGTATGGCGCCACCTACGAGACAAAGTGCTCGTAGTCACGCAGTCTTTAGTTGGAAGGAATGATAGGATGTGGCACAAGACTGCATCAGGCAGATCACTGATCCTGTCCCTGACGACAGCATTTTCTTCTGCTTTCTGCGGCTTTGAGGTTGGTTTATCCATCTTCAGGAGTCGTGGAATGCTGTCTACAACAAATAATGCATTAATATGATACAAAAATCTGCGTATTTACAGAGTTGTTTAGTATTTGACTATTTGTTATTTTTAATAAGGTTTGTTAAATTTTTAATATTTATTTTGCGGAGTATTGTATTTTTTATTTTTGTGGTTGGTGGGTGTTCCTGACAAAAAAAGACGACAAGAGGTAATGAACCTTAAAAAAAAAAAAATGCAGAACCAAACCCTAAAATGATTTTTCTACCTGTGTCACCTCAGACGCGAAAAAGACGGGTGCATTGTAAATGTCTCACTGAGATGAACAAAAAAACCCTAAAAAATGATAATGCTGTAAATAGAAAATAAGAAATAGAGCCAAACCTTAAAATGTTTTTTCTACCTCTTTCTCACCTTAAAAGCGAAAAAGCAGGTGCACTCTGAACGTTTTACTGTCCTGAACCCAAAACCCTAAAATTTGAGAATGCAAAGAAAAAATGGGGTGGATGCCACTTTATTCGATCTTATTAACTTATTCATTTCTATCATATATTATGTCCATCAAATGGACCTTAAACCCTGACTTCCATTAGATAATTTATCATTTCGTGAGCCAACAATATAAATTTATCTTTTTATTAGAATTGGACATAATAGTCTATCTCATCCTTTATACATATATATATTTTTTTCTGATTCAAGCTAAATGTAAAAGTAATTATGAAAATTGATAGTCAAATAACTCTTGGTCTCTTCAGTTTTCCCCTTTCTTTCACATTTCTCTTCAACCGTTTGGATAGGCTTTAGAGAAAATGACTTTTTATGGCTTGCTTTTTATTATTATGAACTTTTTTAAAATTGTTATTTTATGTTTTGATGAACCACAAAAAAATGCTATTAAATAAAAAAGTTATTTAGATGTCAACTTAATAAGTAATTTTTATATATAAAACTACTGAATATGTGATATTAAAGGGGTGGAGTGGTTTGAGTGGGATTGGGGTAAAATCAGATTTTTAAAAAAATATTTAACTTTTTATTTTTGCTTTTTCTATAAGCAATGAATCCTGAATTTTCAAAAAAAATAAATACCATTTTAACTTTTTTTTTAAATTTTATTTTTTAAAAAGTTGTTATCCAAACATATAAAATTCTTCAAAAGGATTTATTTATTTATTTTTTGAAAAAAGCTACTTCTCTAAAAAGATATAATGTCATGATATGATATAAATAGAAAATATATTTCCATAAGATGAACTTAATGTATCTCTTTTGCAACACTTGGTCACTGAGCACAACTTAATATAATTTAATCTCCAAAATAAAATTCATTAGCAAAAATAATAAATATATGGTCGAACCTGCTAATTCTTGACTGATCCATGAACATCACAAATTTACTTGTCTCAAAGAGACGGTAACACTAAAAGTTAGATTGAGCGCAAATGCCAGAAAGATGTGGCCTATTTTCTTCTTCTTTTCATGAACTCTGGAAAAATATCTGTAAATCAAGATAATATTTTTTATTATTTTAGATTTTTTAGAACATAAAACTCATGAAAACAACGTAAACCATTATAATAGAAAGACAGTGCTTCACACCAACGGTAGTGTTATTCTTCAAAGTAAACACCAAAGCCCCCAAAATAAACAAATATTTAGGAGCAATAATAACAAAAATAAACAGTAGAAAATGGGAGTGAATCCTTTCATATTAAAAGATTCAAATGACTTGGTTAAATACAATTTTTTTTTTGTCTATCTCTCTCTTTACATGTATTAAATAGATGGGAAATTAACATTAACGAAGAGATAGACAAATTTTTTTACATGACCAGGTCGTTTAAAATTTTAACACGAGAGAATCTATTCCCGTAAATAATAAAGTTAATTATAATAAGTGGCATGAAATCTCAAAGTTTTTCCTTCAATTTTAGTGAGCAAGTAAATGTGTCATTTTCTTTAATCTTCAAGCTATAAATCAAATACAACCCCTACTATCAAATGGTGGTAGCTCAGTTGGTGCATGGGAGCTGAGCAGGTGGGGAGAGAGCATGTGTTCGAATCCTCCCAGTACCACCTTTGGGAGGGGTTTAAAGCCTTAATCCTAAACCCGCCCCGAATCGGATTAGTTGCGAAGCGATGAACCGATTGGAATATTTCCAAAAAAAGAAGAAGAAAGATACAACCCCTACTAAGGCGAAGGTAGGAAATAATTCATAGGATTAAACTTTTTTTACAATTGCATAATCAGTTATGCTCAAATGCTGACTCAGCAAAATGTGCAGACAATTCTATAACGTAAAATGGTTGTGAAGGAAGCGTTCATTAAAAAAGGGAAAGCATGATAAAAGAAAAAGCAGCTGCGGGGAGAGCCGGATCCCGGAGAGAACATTTTATTGGGATTTGAAGACTTTGGACCGGGAGAGACCAGAAGTTCTCTGATCCTTTGTGGTTAATGTTAGGATTAAAAATTTTCAAAACAGAAAAATTAAAATTGTGCTAAATCTTGTGCTAACAAACACAGTAGTATATACATCAAGAATGATAAGGATCGTTCTCTAGGAATAAGAATTTTAGTTTCTTTTCTATAATCTGTCCTAGTTTCTTGAATCGCAAGAAAACAACTTTTTAAAGCTGGAAATTAAACTAACTAAATTTTCAAACAGAAAAGATTCAACATCTGAAGCACTTATTGGAGTTTTCCAGTTCCAACATCTGAAGCACAGAAATATCGGTTTTCTCACAGAAATTCAACATCTGAATTGCAAGAAATATCGGTTTCACAGAAATATCGGTTTCCTCCCTTCATCCAAACTGCTATATCGGTTTTCTCACAGAAATTCAACATCTGAAGCACTTATTGGAATTGTCCAAACCAAATCAAATCTTTTTCCAAGGTATTTAAATCAGATCTTTAATGTCTAATGATGAATTTCCACTCTGCAGGTTTCAATCAACAAAATATCACAACCCTTATTTTCCAATTACAAAATCATGAAAAAAATGGTTCAAGGTCCACTCCCATGACTTCTTGAACTAAGAATTTTGTTAACCGAATTGCAAGAATCATACATAGTAATATTCTAAAATAAAGGATACTTTCTAATCATTTAGATCCTCAGCTAGGAATTTAGAAATCCATAGCTACAGTGAATGGAAAATAAAATTTGAAACTGAAATTATTGTGCATTAAAACCTGATTCGAAGGTAAAGAGTATTAGAGTACAGACCATAAACTTCAAAATATAAAGGTTCAGAAATGAAAAAAAATGCTTGCAAAGTGGTACTGAAATCACAAACTGCACTTGAGAAAATGGTCTTCTTGAATGCTTCCAAGAAGTTCTCTTATGATGTTCTTGCTTTCAAAGAAAAACACTAAAAATTAAAGACTAAAATTTCTCTAAAACTGGAAAAAAAATGAAAAACTAAAAAGACTCTCTGTGTGACTTCAGCAAAAAATCTATTTAACATGTTGAAAATTCCAAGTCTCTTCTACTTTGCTGTCCATCCAATTAAACTTTCATCCAATGGTCCATAATTCGCCACGTCAGCAATTCCTCACTATTTTTGCTTCCCTGTTATCAAATTGCATAGAAAAATATCAAAAAATTTACAAGTCTGCCAGTATTTACTCAATCACCTTAATGGGCCTATTTTATACACTTCTGTACCTTTTTCACCTGCATGTGAACCATTAACAGCCAAAGAAAACTTAAAATACAATTGCTAAACCATGCAATCGCTACTATCAGTTACTACTTGTTATTCAGTTTTTCGTTCTATTTTCTTTTAACATCCTAAGGAAATTGTCCATGAGACATTGCTGAGAAATGGTATGGGTTATGACAATATTTATCGCAAGGTTAATCAGTTCAGTAGCTCTCATACTCTTAAAAAAGTCTATATTGATGTTATTAAGCAAATTGATAAAAAGCTTAAAGATTCTCTTCAAGCTTATTGTATTTCCAATAGCATAAGAAGCAACTTTGCAAAAATGGAAGAGGAGCGCACAAAGGTCTAATTAATTGTTGTGGAGTATCATGCTCAAATAATTTTCCTTAATACAAGAGCTTTCAAACAGTGGGATCCAGGAGGAGGGTATATGGTGCCTAAACACTTTTACCCAAACCAGTTGGGATCGACAGTCAATGAACTCCAAAAAAAATAAAAAATAAAAAAAGATTTCGGAAAAGGAAAGAAAAAAACAAACAAAATACTGATAATGGTAGTAATAAAAAAATAAAATAAAACTAAACTAAAAAATATAAGAGAAAATTGTTGCAGGACCAAAAACTATAATATTTTTTTTTGGAGGGGGGCAATACTATATTAGGCATTGTCAGAACATAATTTTATCAAAGAAAATTTAGGAACTTTGGGGACATGGAATTATGTAATTCCACCCCAATATAGTTATAAACTTATAAAATGTGGTGATATACATATAAGAACAAAGATACATGTATTTGTGCAAAATAAACCAAATTCTAGTGATCTTTGATTCATTAAGAATCAGAGTTTGGTAAGAAGGAGGGAGAGAGAGAGAGAGAGAGAGAAGAGATCTGAGAGATAACCATTGTATTTACTGTATATTCTGATGTACAATCTAATACACAAAGGCTCTATTTATAGAGCAAGAGCAAGATAAAGACACAGATCTGAGTCAGCAAGTTACAAATAGACTAACTAACTAACAGACTAGAAAACAGAAAAGAACATTTGTGATCTAATACATACAGAAGTACAGTAACATCAACAAAACTAAAGCTAAGTGAACTATATCACTAATAGTAAGCCACTTAGAAGGAGATGTTGAGAGTTCATACCTTAGTAGTGACATTCACCACATGAAAAATTAAGTTGGCACACGCCAGAGCCCCGTGGTATATCATATAATGATTTTCTATGAATATTATGCCACTTTTCCCCAAAGTCCAACAATCTGTCGGTATAAATGTTCATTGCCTTCAAAACAAATCCATATCGTAAAACATAATCAGCAAATTCTAGCTCATCTTCAAGTCCTTGATATCCTTCAAACTGAACAGAGGTCAGGTGTGATCGAAGACAATTAGGAACCGTTGTTGGCTGCGCCCAACTTTGTAAACGTAATGGTTTCGGATTCTGGCGGCAAAAAGGAAAAACAAACACTAATAAATGGAAGCGAAGATTATATTTAATATAGGTCAAAACTTTAAACTTGAAAGCTCAACAAACCCTCGAGTTATGAACTGTAAGAACTTGAAGTACATGACATTTCTGAAGCAAGTTTATCAGAAAACTCGATTTGAAACATGGAAAAGTGATCTCTAGACTACGTAAGTGGCGAAAATTCGGTAAATCTAAAATAGGGGGACAAAGTAGGATCTGCAAGACAGCAAGAAGTTATATAATATATAATATTCATAAAAAAAGAATAAGAAGAATAGTGATAATAAAACTTGACCTCTGTTGATAAAGAACCCAATTTTAGAGATTTTGTTCCGGACAGAGCTCGGATAAGCTTGTGAAAACTGTTGACAGATGCTTTGTCCATTGCTTCCGTATTAAGATTTGCATGCATCATATGCTGTAAATTAGTAACCTTAAAATGAAAGGAGCTATCCATATAGAAGATATTAAGGTACTCAAGACCTGGCGCATCTATATCCAGGTAAGATTCACAACCAGTAGAAAAAACTTGTAACAACAATCTCTTCAAGGAAGAAGGGACGCGGACTTTGGTCAAGCATTCGGGATAAATAGTCAAAGTCAGAGTTTCGAGGGCAGGGCACCCAGAGAGGAGGGTTTCAATAACATCCACGTCTACATCCTCTACACTAAGCACCTTTAGGGATGGCAAACAAACGGCTGGAGGCTTTTCTATGCGGATTCCGTAGGACAAAGTCAGTGACACGAGCCTGCTGCAAGTGAAGAGGGTGTGAGGCACCACAAAACCCAATCCATAATGCAGTTCAAGCTGCAGTTCCTCCAGGTTAGGCCCAATGGCGGTTTGGACCCACTTAGCCACTGAGTCGGAGTCTGTGTTGGAGAAATAACGGCAGAGTCGAAACACTCGAATATCATAACCCTTTCGCATAGCTAGAACCCTATTTACTAAAACAGCTAAATGCTCGAATCCCTCGCAATAATGGTCGCAAAAGTCAAGGACTTGAATATCCTTCCAGATATGGCGCCACCTACGAGACAAAATGCTCGTAGTCACGCAGATTTTAATTGGAAGGAATGAGAGGACGTGGCACAAGACTGCATCAGGCAGATCACTGATCCTGTCCCTGCCGACATCATTTTCTTCTGCTTTCTGCCGCATTGAGGTTGGTTTATCCATCTTCAGGAGTCTTGGAATGCTATCTACAATACAATGAATAATGCATTAATATAAATACAAAAATCTGCGAATTTACAGGCTTGTTTAGTATTTGACTATTTGTTAATTTTAATAAGGGCTTTATGTGTACTTTTTTTTTAGTTCAGACACAAAAATCAGGTGTAAAAAAATAATGCTGGAGAAAAATTCCTTCTGCCACGCCAACATGAGACTATGTTCCTGTTTGAATACTGTTTGTAAAAATAGATTTTTGGTTTTCATAAAAAAAAAAAAAAACTTAATTTAAGGTAGATAAGTTATTTAGTATCATTTCTCAAAACAACTCATTTTATATTCAAAGATTAAAAAATTATTTTTTATTATAATTCTAAAATAAATTATAATTACAAAAAATATCTTGATTTTCGCTTTAAAATGACATCATTTTATTTCAAGATAGATAACTTATCTACATTGACAGTTACAGTAAAAACAAACGAAGAATTTTTTTTTAGTGAAACCTGTTTTGTAAAAAAAAAAAAATTCAAAATTTCAACTTTTTTTATTTTTAAAATCAAATTTAAAAAATATTTTTGAATTGTTTTTTTTTATATTTTGACTTTTAACTTTAAAAAAAAAAACAAAAAAACCATATATTTTCATAATTATTGTACAAAATAATTTAAAAAAAAAACATAACACGATGAAATAGACACTATATTTTTCATTTTAATAATGTTTGTTAAATTTTAAATATTTGCTTTGGGGAAGAGTGTGAGTGGTTGGTGGGTGTTCTCGACAAAAAAAAAAAAAAAGAGATAATGGAACTTTAAAAAAAATGCAGAACCAAACCCTAAAATGATTTTTCTACCTGTTTGTCACCTCAGACGCCAAAAAACAGGTGCACTTTCAACGTCTCACTGTGGCAAACGAAAAAACCCTAAAAAATGAGAATGCTAAAAATAGAAAATGAGAAACAGAGCCAAACCTTAAAAAAAATTAAACTCTTTCTCACCTCAAAAGCGAAAAGCTGGTGCACTTTGAACGTTTCAAAGACCTGAACACAAAACTCTAAAATTTGAGGATGCTAAGAAAAAAAATAGGGTTGATGTCACTTATCATTGTGTATTTGGATGGGCTTTTTCTCTAAAAAATGCACTTTTTCAGAAAAAATAAAAATAAAAACCTCTTGGAAAATTTTATGTATTTTGGAAAGGGTTTGATGTTGGTATTTTTAAAGCACAAAGAGTTGTGTCATTTTAAGAGAGAGAAAGAAACAAGTAATGGAAAGTATGGGAGAGAAAATGAGTGTATTTTTTAAAAAAATTAAAAATATTAGTTTGTGTATTTCTTGCACTTAAAATAGGGGAAGGATATTGTAACAACCAAGTTGAGTTACTATCATGTTACTACCAATCAATCTCACCGTAAGATCGATTATGTGAATCAACGATTATATTTATTTCTATCTTTGTATGGTCATGATTTCCCATATTTAAAATGAAAGCATTAAATATGGAAAATCATAATCATACAAAGGTATAAATAAATATAAAGTATTAAATATGGAGAATCATGACCATATAAAGATGGAAATAAATATAACCGTTGGATCAACATAATCGATCTAATTGTGAGATTGATTGGTAGTAACACAACTTGGTTGTCACAATATCCTTCGCCTTATTATTAACTAGTTGATTAAGAAAAAAAAATCGGTTTGTTTGTCCCGTAAACGAATTAATAAGAAAATCGGTTTGTTCGTATGACATAAACGTGTAACTTTTAAGGTAGGAACAAAAAAAAAAATAATCGAATTTTAATTATTCGATTTAAAGATTAAAATTCGATTTTTAAAAGAATTTCTTTTCCCACCATCCATATTTAAATTCAAAATTTTAAACCATTTCAAATTTTGAATTTCAGATCAGACGACCAATTCCAACATAAAAAGAAATTAAAACACTTGATTATCCAATTAAAATTTCGAATTTCAAAATCATATTTCTTAATTAATTATTCTTTATATCTGCCACCACAAACGGTCATTTAATTATTCAATTTAAAAATAAAAATTCGATTTTTAAAAGAAATTCTTTTTCCACCATCCATATTTAAATTCAAAATTTTAAACCATTTCAAATTTCGAATTTCAGATCAGACGACCAATTCCAACATATAAAGCAATTAAAACACCTGATTATCTAATTTATTTTATCTGTCATCTCTCTTGATTCTTGATTGTTATGATATTTGAATCAAATATATAACAAAGATAATGTCTTTGTTATGTCATTATTGTGTATATATTATTTAAAAAATATCCATAACGAAATTGTGAATTGAATGACAATCAGGTATTCCACAATTGTGAAATTTGTTTTTGTTTCTATTGATCTCCATGAATAGAGATCGTGAATGCATGTCCGTGAAAAGAGTTTTCTTTTTATTGAATTTAAAATTTCGAATTTCAGATTGTGCAAAATAAATACATAATTTCGAAATTTAATTGATAAACCATTTAAAATTTCGAATTTCAGATGAGATGACCAATTCGAACATAAAAAGCAATTAAAACAGCTGCTTTCTTTTTGGATACCAATGTGATGGGCAGTGGGACATTAAATGCCTTGACTGCCACCACAAATGGTCATTAAATTATTCAATTTAAAGATTAAAATTCGATTTTTAAAAGATATTCTTTTCCCACCATCCATATTTAAATTAAAATTTTTAAACCATTTCAAATTTCGAGTTTCAGATCAGACAACCAATTCCAACATAAAAAGCAATTAAAACACCTGATTATCCAATTAAAATTTCGAATTTCAAAACCATATTTATTAATTAATTATTCTTTTATGTCTGCCACCACAAATGGTCATTTAATTATTCGATTTAAAAATTAAAATTTGATTTTTAAAAGAAATTCTTTTCCAACCATCCATATTTAAATTCAAAATTTTAAACCATTTCAAATTTTGAATTTTGGATCAGATGACTAATTTCAACATAAAAAGCAATTAAAACAGCTGATTTCTTTTTGGATACCAATGTGATGGGCAGTGGGACATTCAATGCCTTGTCTGCCACCACAAATGGTCATTAAATTATTCGATTTAAAAAAGAAAAATTCAATTTTTAAAAGAAATTTTTTTCCCACCATCCATATTTAAATTCGAAATTTTAGACCATTTCAAATTTCGAATTTTAGATCAGATGACGCATTCCAAAATAAAAAGCAATTAAATCAGCTGATTATAAAATTAAAATTTCGAATTTTGAAACTTATTAAACAGCTGATTATCCAATTACCGGATTAACCACATATTTATCATTCCAATAACACAATTGAAAATATTGTGGAAAATAACTAATGACAAACAGATAAACTTGTATTCCAGAATATGCATAAACATTACTTTGTCTATAGGAACGCTCCTATTTGAAGTTAAACATGGAGGAAGTGATTACCAAAACACAGCAATAAAAAACTACAATTATATTGTTCAATCCCAAACAATCTCCAAAACAAAAAACAAAAAACTTTCAAGTGACATTGGTCCAGCTACGCGTCTTTCAGAACAGCATCAAATCTAAACAGAAACAAAAAAATAACGACGTATTAACAGACACATCACACTCACGATTATAAATAAATAAAAAGCTACACAAAGAAAAAAATAATGGGTAAGTACTCAACTCTTTCTCTAGCTTAATCTTTTTAGGAGGACGGACAACTGATGAATTAAAATCGTCTTGAAGGGGATCATTAGGATTCATTAACGGCGTCACATTGCACTTTTTTCCAAAAATAGCAAAATGTTGTACCCACTTGGGTACAACAGTAGTACCAAAGATTTATCCAGTCGATTGGTGGTAATGGCTTACTCTTATACACCTAGCAAAGTTCCTAAGAGAAAAATATAGGGCTACATTTGGAATGTAATGGATATGATATTTGTTATCCTATTATGTTCATTCCTAACTTGAGTCCTTCCTTATGATAGCTTATTCTGTTGTGGACAGGATAAAATGAGCTAACGGGATAAGCTTATCATATCCTAGTTGTTGCCCAAACAACGGATAAGAGTAAGATATGATAGCCTATCATATATTGTCCTCTTTATCTTGACCACCCCTAAGAATAAAAGGATAGAATAGGAAATTCACTTCATTCTCATTTCAAATATAGTTACATGATTTGTTTTTAAGAACTTTGATGGGTATGTAAGTGTCCCTTGCCACCAACCAGCCATAATCTTCGTAGTCCATTAGCTTTATAACCTATTATCACCGCCATCAGCTATCATACAATCACATGCCTTTATTATGAGCTACCAGTCACAACCGTAGTCACTGGTTACCATCACCCTGACCATTGGGCACAAAACATTGTCGCTTTCAATTAGCCCCCGCAATTACCAGCAATCACCTTCGATGTCGTCACCACTAGCCACCTTCACTTGCCACCTCTACACCAACCACAACCACTAGTAAGTTACAACTATTGACTCGCCACCATTAGACACCACCACCACTATGATATGTGAATATTATTATGCCTGTAATTATCCACATATATTACCCAACTTTTAGTTGAATGGAATGCTTTTTTTTTTGGACAAACGAGTGAAATAAAAATGTTATTTTAATACTAAAATTAATATAATAAAATCAACAAAACAAAAAAAACTAATTAAAATTATAATATCTAACTCAATTAAAAAAATAGTCTAAATATAATTCAAATCTTAATTATAAAGCATAAGAAATATGTAATTATATTTATTTTAATACTAAAATTGAAAACCGGGTTCAACTGCTAATTACAATTTACAAGTTTCACCTTACAACTGCCACCATGCCAATGCTTGCTTGTATTAATAAAGTATTAATTATAATATCTAAATATTATATATATTCAATTTGACCGGTTAAACTAATAACTCATTAGGTTTAATAACATTGATACAAACATCCTAGACAAGCATCTATATCCAGAAGTCTTAATGCATAAC